CTGGTCCGACGGTCGATGACTGTTGGTTGTGCTGTGGGTCTGTGGTGGTCGGTGGTTGTGCTGCTAGCTGCTGCTCAGTGGTGGTCGGTGGTGCTGGTCGGTGGTGGTCGGTGGTGTGCGCTTGTTAGCGCTGCTGGTCAGTTGGGGTCGAGGCTGCTTGTGGTGGTGGTCGGTCGTGGTCGGCGGCGGGTGCTGGTGGGTGCCGATGGTTGGTTGCGGTCAGTGCTGCTTGAGGTGGCGCTGGTCGGTCATGGTCGGTGGTGGGTGCTGGTGGGTGCGTCTGGTCGTTTGGAGTCGGCGCTGCTTGCGGTGGTGGTGTCGGTCGGTCGTGGTCGGATGTGGGTGCTGGTGGATGCTGCTGGTTGGTTGTGGTCAGTGCTGCTCGTGGTGGTGCTGGTCGTCGTCGGCGGTGGTCGGTGGCCGGCGTTGGCGGGTGTTGCTGGTCTGCTGGGGTCGGTTCTGCTTGTGGTGGTGTCGGTCGGCCTTGGTCGATGATGGGTGTTGGTGGGTGCTGCTGGTCTCTTGGGTTTTGCTCCGTTTGTGGTCGTGCTGGTCGGTCGTAGTCGGCTGTGGGGGTTGGTGGTGCTGCTGGTTGGTTGGGGTCGGTGTCGCTTGTGCTGGTGCTGGTCGCTCGTGGTCGGCGGCGGGTGTAGGTGGGTGCTGCTGGTTGGTCGAGACTGGCGCTGCTTGTGGTGGTGGGAGGTCGTGGTCGGCATTGTCGGTTGGGCGTGGTTCTTCGGCGGGTGTCGGTCAACACGCGCATGCACGCGATTAGAAACACGTGGCGACATCCCAGCTGCAGGGATGAGCACACTAGTCCTCGAGAAAGCACCATTCGCAGGCTCAACACGGCGCATGCAGTGAATGACTGTGCCCCGACATCGCGAGATAGCGCGCTTGTTGCAGAACGCAGAGCCCGCATGCCAGAACACTGCATGATGGCTGAGGAGTCCGCGCACGTGAGACGCCACGAGCACGCAGCGCCCCGCAGGCGCCACGCGCACCTCCTGGCCGCCGCGCCGCGGCCGCGGCGCCCGCGCGGGCCAGGCTGCCTGCCGCGGTGCTCCCGGCGGGCCGCCAGAGGCCCCCCCGCGGCCCGGGCACCCGCCGTGGCCGCCCCCCAGAGGGGCACGGCGGCCCACGAGGGCGGGGCCCGACCCTGAGAGCCTGACGTTGCTGACGAGCTGGCATGCAGCCACGTGGGATCCGTCGCGCCACCACGCGGGTCCTGGAAAGGCTGTGCTGCCTGGCGAGGGGGGAAGGGAAGGGGAAGGCAGCAGGCAGACGACGACGAAAAAAGCAGGCGGGAGGCCGGGGCCGGCGGGGCGAGCGGGCAGGCGGGAGGAGATCCGGGCGCTGCAATGCTACCCAGCAGGTTCGCCCAGTGCCGAGCCCTGGGAGCTGTCACGGGTCGATCCTGCCAGAAACATGCCGCGTGCATGAGGGCGCAGAGGGCGCTTGATCTGACCCTGAAGTCATTGGCTTCGTTTGCTCTGGCGACCGCCAGTCACGTATTACCTGTTCCACGCCTGCAGGCGCCTGAGCATCTGGCAAGCGCACCCCAGCCATCGAAGACACACTAGCGTCAAACTGCGCTCATGTCGCCGCAAAGCGGAAGAACGTCATAATCATATGGGACCGTCCTACCCGCTCTGGCGAAGCTACTTCGCAGTGGGGGCAGGTGAAAAAGGCAGGGACTCACGCGCCCTTCAGGCTGCCCGCAAGGCGCACCATGGTCATTTCGCCAGCCGCCCGAAGGCCTCGTAGGGGCGACCGCGGTCCTTGTAATAGGCCCTCACCTCGGGCTCGTTCGCCACACGGACCCTGAGCGCTGTGATGTTCGGGTACGGCGGGGAAGCCGTCGTAGAAGCCGGAGACAAAGGTACTCGTCTCGTTTAAAAAATCAAATGTCCCATGTTCAGTGGCTGGTCGACCGTTGGCGTGAGAGCGCTATCGAGCCGCCCTGGCAACTTGTGAAAGGTCCTATTGGTGTCTGTCGCCGCTGCCTGTCGGGCCTCACGCTTCTCCTCGCCCTAAAGGTGACCCAGCAAGGCCGCGGACTCCAAGTCCTGGTGACAAAATCGACCGGCGTCACCCCACACAGCCTAGCCGCACACCGCATAATCGCAGCCGACTGGGCGATGGCCTTGCTGCCAATCTCCAGGACCCGGCATCTGGCCGAACGAGGTCATCTCCCGCGCGGCCTGCGCCCGCGCCCGCTCGCCGAGGGGGATCCTCGCGTCCTCGAAGTGCACCTGCCTGATGGTGAACGCGAGCTTCGTGGGCTCGGCCCCCAGCCAGGCGCATGCCACCAGTGCACCCGGAGCCTGGGCGGAGAGGCCGCTCCGCCATCGGCCACCTCTGTCACGATGCTCGGAGACGCACGGCACGCGCGCCCCCTTCCCGTCACGAGCGGCATACCCGCATCCGCGCCCTCGCGGTCTGGATTCCGGAGCGCGATCCCGCGGATACGCGGTCGCACGGATGCGTTCCGCGCGGGGTCGCGGCCCAGAGGCCCGGCCCGCGAGGCCGCGGATACGGATATGTTTTCGCCCACGGTCCAGCTCCTCCCCCAAGGGACGCGGGCGCCACACTGGAGCCGAAGGCTAGAGGCAGGCCGTGGTCAAAGGCGGGTCCCGAGAGACTGAAGTCCGCAACGGGTGGCGGACGGGCATGGGATCACGAAGGGGCGGCGAAGCGGCAGGCCAGCTGGGCGAGTGGGCTGAAAGACGACGAGCCCCTCTCGCGCACAAACGCCACTGGTCCTCCGCCCAGGGGGGGGGCGGGATCAGTCAGCATCGAGGCGGGAAGTCGGATCGGATATGATCGGAATCGGACCAGATCGTCTTCGCCAGCATGCACAACAGCGCCATGCAATCATCGAGCTGCATCGATCCTCACAATATCGGAATAAGCTCGGATCGGGCAAGCCGAAATCGATATCGAATCAGATCTATCGGCTCAGAATGGACCCGGGAAGGGGAGCGGGGAGGGCAGAGGCGTTTCTGCATGCGGCGCGTCCCAGAAAGGGCCTCGCATCTGGCGCATCGTATCCTTGGCAGAAGCTGGCCGACATGAAACGGCCGCGCACGGCAGCCGCGCCGCCAAGGACGTAGAGCGGTTGGCGTTCCGTTCGGGACGGGGGAAGGGGGATCAAGGCGAAGAAGAAGGCTCGCAAATAGGCGCGGGCACCAGCTCACATAAAGACGGCTCGCCTGGAGCCGGCCCCCCCCCTCCCCCCCCCACGGTCACTCGGCCCTGCCCCCAGACGCCGTGCAACGAGGTCGAACCAGGAGTAGGGGATCCGATCAGCACTTCATCTCTGAATTTGTTCACTCGAGTTCAGATGGCCAGTGAGTGTATGGAGCGGCGCTCGCACTTGTACCTAGTCCCTTCGCCCTCCCAGGATCCAGGGAGCTACCCTCGCTGTGCCACCCTCACGGGGGCGGGGGTGCGAGGGGGCAGGATGTTAGGCTCTTCCTTCCAGCACTTTTACAGCAGAAGCTCGCCTGTCGTGAGCCTCGCGCGTCTCCGTGTGATCGCACATCGATTACAAATCCGATGGCGCCGCGATCGCGGTAGGCCTTCAGCTAGCCCCTCACGAGACCTCCAGAGCCTCACGCAACACGGGGCAGCGCGACCAGAAAGGACATGAAACGGGGGCGGCTCTGCCGTCGGAGGCAGGCGGAGGTAAAAGGGAGACGTCAACATTGTTGAATTAGCGTTTTCTTATTCGGCGTTTCGACATTGGGCGGAAGGGGGGGGAGGGAGGGGGTCTGGCTTTGGACCTCTGTTTAATGCGACTGTTGACAGCAGTGCGTCCTATGGGAGAGACTCCACATGCTCGAAAGCGCCAAAAACAGCCAAGATCTACTCCATGGGAGGGGAAGGGGCGGGGGGCGAGGGCCCGCGCCGATCGGCAAAACAACGAACAAGAAAACGATCACGAGTTGGCCGCGTGCTTGTGCCCCAGATCTACCGCGGCTCAGGGGGGCGCCCGTGGCGGCACAGCGGATCACGCGTTGGCAGCCCCTGCGCTCGGGCAGGCTGTCGAACCATGTTTCGTGCTGCCGAGCAGGGGTGGTGTTCACGAAGCGCTGCGTCGCTGGCCTTGGCAGCGCGGGTGCTCGCTGAGGCCAGCGGACCATAGACACCCGATGAAGAAGGAGGAGGAGCAGGACGAGGGGGAGGAGGAAAAGGAGAAGGAGGAGGAAGTGATTTCAGAGATCGTGAGCGCCTGAACCGCTAATGAGATGGCTCAAGCCGCCGAGGCTCGAATCTAGAAGTCACTGCTTCACATAAACTAGAGCGGCATTAAAAAATTGATCATCCACAACTTGAGAGCTCGTTGGTTTCATCGAACCGTCTGAACCGCTAATGGGGAATCACCGTGTGCATTATGGGTGTAGGCCTTCGTTGGTTGTGGCCATGTTGGGGAACGCAAGTCTCTTCAACGCAATACAAGGTGGAATGTGTTCGTGGAACATGGACCTTTGAAGGAGGCGTTTTCGTTTCCATCCGAAATTGCAAAATGATTGAATGCGGAACAATGGGGTGGTTACTCCACCGCCGTATTACTAGATTGCGGGTTAGCCGATACTGCCTAGGCTGGTTTAGATCAGATGTTTCTGCGTGGACATGTCGATGATGTACCTGTATATGCGATCATTGAGTGCCATGAGCTTCAGACTGTGTTCGGCTGCATCCTGCATCCAGGTCATGTATGCACCTCTGGCTCGGTACCAATGTGAAGGGCAGCTACATTCGAAGCAGGCCTCTGAACTATGATCCTCCGCCTCCTCCTCCTCCTCCTCCTCCCCCTCCCCCTTACGCTGTTTCCCTGCCGCTCTCTCCTCCTCATCATCATCTTCCTCTTCCTTCTCCACTCATCCAACAGTTTGCCAACAACAGCAATGCGTCCATCGAAAATATCCTCAACATCCCTCTCCCCCCGACTCTACTTCCCGCATGTCCCCTTGCTTGCAAAACGGCCGTGTCGCCGAACATCAGTGGCCGCGTGGTCCACAGCGGCGTTGGAACACACTGGAACGCGCCGCCCTTCACGTCTACCCGCGGGCGCCCCACTCTGGGACACAGCACTGGCATCACAGGCGACCCGCTTGCCCTGCATTTCTTGTTCGTGCTCCTGGTCAAGATCCTCCTCCTCATCATTAGCATCATCAGCATCAGCAGCATCATCATCATAAGCATCATCATCGCCACCTTCATCATACAGACCAACATCTTTCTCCGAATCCAGCTACGACATCAACGAGGGCGAGGGCGAGAAGAGGAAAAGGACGAGAAAGGTGAAGAAGAATAAGAGGAATAATAAAAAGAGGGCGAGGGATAGGAAGACGAAAAAGGGGAGGACCCAGCATTGGTGTAAGGATGGGGCATCAGCAACATGAGAGGTACAATGAGACGACGGGAGTGACGACGAGGAACGGGAGGAAGAAGAGAGGTGACATTCGAAGGAAGATAAGGTCCCCTGGCCAGTAGAGGTAATTCAAGAAAGACTCCTGAGAAGGTGTGCACTCGCACTCGCTGCGCAGTCAATGACCATGCGAAGTCCCACCAGCCCTTTGGGCGTGAGTGGTTTAGAGAGCCCTCTCTGTTCTCAACCACCCTTCTTCCCCTTCGGGGAGGGGTTTACCCCTCCCCTACCCCCTCCCCCTGGGCCTGGAGAGGGCGCCTCGCGGGTCGTTGGAGGGGTCTTTTTCGACTCCTGGGAGGGCTAAAAAACGACACCCCTCACGAGGATTCTGGCCCCGACGGGGGGAGGGAGAAAAAACCCTCTCCTCTTCTTAAAAGCCAAAATCATTGATTTTACTACGGTTTTGGCCCCATTTTGGCCTTCTGAGGGGGCAGCGCTCATTAAAGCTCCTCTCTTCCTTCAAGGCAAAATCATTGATTTTACGAAGGTTTGGGGCCCATTTTGCCCTTCTGAGGGGGCAGCGCTCATTAAAGCTCCCTTCTTCTTTGATCGATTTCCTCCAAGGTGGCCCCAAGAAGCGCCCAGGAGGCACCAAGAGGCCCCAAGATGGCCCCAAGAGGCCCCCAGGAGGCTCCCAAGAGGCCACCAAGAGGCCCCCAAGAGGCCCCAAGAGGCCCCCAGAGGCCCCAAGAGGCCCCCAAGAGGCCCCCAAGAGGCCCCAAGAGGCTCCAAGAGGCCCCCAAGAGGCCCCCAAGAGGCCCCCAAGAGGCCCCCAAGAGGCCCCAAGAGGCTCCAAGAGGCCCCCAAGAGGCCCCACGAGGAGCCCGAACGACTCACACCAGGACGAGGGGCCCGAACGACTCACACCACGAAGAGCCCGAACGACTCACACCAGAAGGAGGGGCCCGAACGACTCACACCAGGACGAGGCGCCCGAACGACTCACACCACGAGGAGCCCGAACGACTCACACCACGACGCGGGCCCCGAACGACTCACACCACGAGGAGCCCGAACGAGTCACACCAGGAGGAGGGGCCCGAACGACTCACACCAGGATGAGGGGCCCGAACAACTCACACCACGAGAAGCCCGAACGACTCACACCAGGACGAAGAGCCCGAACGACTCACACCACGAAGAGCCCGAACGACTCACACCAGGAAGAAGGGCCCGAACGACTCACACCAGGACGAGAAACCCCAAACGACTCAAATCACGAGGAGCGCTTTCTCTCCCTCCTCCTCCGCCTCGTCCTTCTCCCGCTCCCCCCACAAGGAGGATGTACAAGGAGGCGGGAGGAAGGAGGAACAGGGGAGATATGCGGGGGCAAGCGGACACACGCCTGAAAAACACGACTGTCGGCATGCTTCGCAAGAGTTGCTGTTGTGAGATGGGCTGGTGGGGATACGCGAAGCGTAAAGAATTTCAAATGTGTGGTTTCCCTCCACCTCGTGACCCTTCTCCCCCTCCTTCCCCCCCTTCTGAACCCATCTCCCTTACAAAGAACTCCTCCTCCTTGCACCAATAGACGTGTCGGCAGGGCGCTTCCTGCGTTCCCCATGAGACATCCTCTCAACTGACGATTCTGAGGCTTCAGCATTCCACCAGCTGCACGGATAGAGGGCGGCCCATGCGCTGAGCGCACTGAGCACTGAGCAGACTCGTCGCAGCAGTGCCCGACAGTGGCACATATGGAGAGCAGAAAATACGAGTATCTGCGGCTGTCGCATGAGCGCTGCGCATCCTCGCTAGCAGAAGCCAGTTGTACGGATTGACAAAGGGCAGTTTTCGAAGCGGTTCTCGCCGAATTGTGGCGCACGTGTGCCCCAACAGCTTCCAATAGCTACACGGACGGGGGGCGGCTTTTTTTCAAACTGTGTCTCTCGCTTGATCTTCCCTCGACTCATGAGGGGCAAGGACGGAGGGTGGTCCGAGCCATCGGGGCGTTCGTCTGTGCAGAGCGGGCGCCCCCTCCACAGCAGCAAAAGAGGAGCGCGCGCAGAGGCTCACTACTGAGGTGCGGTGGAACGGGAGGGTGCACTGCAGCATCGCGGATGCACTCTGCGTGTACTCTGATCCTCCTCCTCATCCTCCGTCCTCCAGAGGTACAGGAAGGCTCTTCCAAGGGTGCGTTTTCGGATCGGTAAGATGTACACCGGCTAAAGTCAAGAGGGCCCTGAATTTGGGAAACACGTTCGTGGGGATGACCGACGGGGACCCGGAGCTGAAGCGTACGCGAAGCGATTGATATCTTTCCAGGCCCCCCACCGCGCAGGAGTTTCGACGGGAGCCAAAACCGTCGTGCAGGGGAAACCGATGTGGCGAAGCATGATGGCGCCAGCTTGGGCATAAGTGCACTCGGTATGGCCCCAACTGAGCATTGGCGCAGCGTCGACTAGACAGGACTGACCTGGTTCAACAATGAGGGGCCCATACATCGGATGTTACTATCCCTCCAGCGTGAAGGATGGACGGCCACCTCCCACACATGTTGGAAGGATGGCGGAGGTAATGAACTCTCCCTCTTGCAAAACACTCCTTCGATGATGGAGCGTTTGTTTAGATTGGGGGTCCAACGCTATCATGGAAGTAAGCTGGCTGAAAAGTTGAGTTGGAGTAGAGTCCTGGGGCCCCCGTCTGCGTCGAGCCCATTCGGAGGATCACCAAAGCCGGCACCAGCAGGGTTGGCCTCGATGCTCGAGAGAAGTATCTTGGTACTTCCTATTTCTGCGAAGAGCTCTGGACAGAGGATCGGGCTAAAGCTGCTGGATACCTCACCAATGTTTTGTGCCCCCTCTGCCAGCAGCCTGGCTCAGTGATTCATAGGCTCTGCAAGTGTGCCCACGAACAAGAGAAGAAAGTTAGAGAGACTGTCGACGCCCCCGAGGGCTTCCTTCAGACGGCTGAAGAATGCGACGAAGCCTTCTACACGGCGCGAAAGGTTGAGCACCGAGTCGACTGGTGGCCCAGCCTATCAAAATGTGTACGAGCCAGTGCTGTATGACAAGGAAGGGGGTCAGGTTCTGTGGCAAGATTGTGACAACACAGATTTCAATCGCAGAGTTGTCCAGGGCGGAGTGCTCTTGGATATTATTGAATGAGCAGGGCAAGCAGACACACATGGCGAGCCTTCCACAGACCAGACAAGCTGCGGAGCAGCTACAGCTCGCCATGATGCTGATGTTCTTTCTTAAGTCCGGAGGCGATGCGTGCTACAGTGATTTCGTGAATGTTGTTCGACAGGAGCGCGCACGAGCAGACAAGTCCCAAGCAACGGTACGGTGGACTCAGACGTGGCGCGCTCCTGCACATACATAAGACTGAGTTTGCTCAAGTTGTTCACACTCCTGCTCACCGTAAGGTATCAGACGCAGATGTCATCCTCGCCCCCAGAAAATTGATTGGGCAAGCTAACTAGAGAGCGGACCACGAAGCCAAAAGATCTCTCGATCTCCGGCGAACGCTCCAACCAGCCCAAAGTGCATCAGTTCACTTTGGCTCGAGGGCATGGCCAATGGGGATGCTTGGGCCCTACGCCCCAGCGGCGCCAAGGCTCCCGGCCCTTGTGGCTTTTCACAAAAGGAACACCGCTGGAACGATAGCGCTGAGATGTGTGCGGCGGGGCCTCCTTCCCAAGCGCGACTGGGCAGTCAGTTATGACAAGGGGGGAAGGACCGCTCACCCGCCCCAGGGCTCGCGCATGTCATGCCAGCGGGCGCAAGCGAGCCGAAGCAGGTGCAAGTGCAACAGGCAGAACGCGCCGGGAACGACTTGGGGCACGACGGAACCCGGGAAGAGAGCAGGCGGGGAAGGCACAAGAGCCCGAGGCTCATGTCCACGACATCGCCCCGAGGCCGCAACAACTGTCTGCAAGCGGAATGCCCTGGACGGCCTGGCCGGCTACGAGCCCGCATTAGCGGAGGCGGAGGCGCAACGGCAGGCTCAAGGGTACTGTTCAAGCTGATTTGGTCAAATGTGGCCAAACAAAACTTCCTCATCTTTTTCATCCTCCTCCTTCTCCTCTTCTTCCTCCTCATCCTCCTCGCCTTACTCATCCTCATCTTCAATAAACGGAAACATGAAAACAACAAACTGCAGCCCATCAATGCTCACTGCTCACTCCTCCCTTTCCTCCTCCTCCTCCTCATCCTCCTCCCCTTCCTCTTTTTCCTCCTCCTCTCCTCCTCCTCCTCCTCATACTTTTCCTCCTCCTTGTTCTCCTCCTCCTCCTCCTGCTCCTCCTCCTCCTCCTACTCCTCTCCTCTCCTCCTGCTCCTCCTCCTCCTCCTTCCTCCCTCCTCCCTCTGTCCTCCTTCATCCTCCATTCCTTTTGCTGAGAAAAATCATCCCTATCGCACCCCGAGGCCAATCGGAAAGGCGGCCTGGGCGTCTCGCTTGAGATCCCCCTGCAATTTAGGATTCTGAAGCAAAAAAGGCGTGGCAACAGTTCACAGATGGAGAACGGGACGCTTCCAAAATGTAGCACGAGTACTATTACTTCTAGTAGCAGATATACGACTAGCACTAGTACTAGCTACTACAACTACTACTACTACTACTACTACTACTACTACTACTACTACTACTACTACTACGACTACTACTACTACTACTACTACTACTACT